TCATTAAATTAAAAATAAATACATATAACTAAAATAATTAAATAAAATGAAAAAAAAAAAAGTAAAAACACAATTATATATGATTTCATTTTTTAATTGTAATTAAGTTAATACACATTATAATATAGATTTTTTGAATTTAAGTAACACTCAAGCATCTTCAAAATCAAATAAATAAATAAAAGTAAATAAATAAAAAATTATAAAATAATGAAAAAAATAAGAGTGTTTATCTTATTAAATTATTATTATTTTAATTTTACATGTTACATTTAGTTTAATTCTTTTTACATTACTTATTATTTCTAATAATATTTTTAGGAGCATTTTTCTTTTTAACAAAAATCCAGTATTTGTTCTCTAAAACAGTATAAAAAAAAATTATGTATTATAGTAATGAGAACTGAATGAGAATTTAATGAGAATAACTCAAAATTGTTATGAAAATAATGTCATGCAAATATAAAGTACTGTTCAAACATTTGGGGTCAATTTTATTTTATATTTTAAATGTTTTTGAAAGAAGTCTCTTTTGCTCACCAAGGCTGCATTTATTTGATCAAAAATACTGTAAAATTTGTGAAATAATATTATTTCAATGTTTTACGTTTGTCTGTTGCTCGGCAACCACTTTGTTGCAACCACAACTGTTTCTGAGGAACTACATTGTTTGGTGGAAGAATACTGTTTTTATTAATATCATTACACTTTATTTGCTCTTTAGGCACTCCGCTTCGCGTCGTGTTAGCTGTTATAAATTCACTGTAAACCACGGCTTCTTGGGGCTTATTGCTTTTATATATTTTAAACTTCAGTTGGTTGCCAAGGTAAAATTTCTCCTTTCATTTTAGTTTATCTTTATTTACTAAAAATAACCAAAACAAGTTAAATTAAAAAAATATAAAAATTATATATATATAAACAACTACTAAAATGACAAAAACAACAAAATTACCTAGCTTTAATTAAAATTAAAATAAAACAGAAAATATAAAAATAATAACTGATTCAAAATATTACATTTACATTTATGCATTCATCCAAAGCGACTTACAAAAGAGATTATATTAATAAAATGATAACAGTATCTCAAGGACACTAAAATAACACTGGTTTATATGAACCCTACATTTTTCAGGTCCGGTGAAAACCATTGCAATAATTAACGTTTTTGCCTCGATTATATATCTGAAGCTGACAAATATGACACAAGAACTTTTTATTTTTAAGCAAATATTTACATTTTATTAATTTAGCAGATGCTTTTATTCAAAGCGACTTACAAATGAAGAATACAACAAGTGATTCTTTTGGAATTATATTTAGTGAATATTCTCATTCACGGACTAGTTTGTACAAAGTAAAATGTATGTAAACAGAGGACATATTATGAAAGGGCTGTGGTGAACATATGCAATGTTTGAATCCATTGAGATGATCATATTCAAGTGTTTTTTGAGGTCTTGAAATTGCATTCGGATCGAGCTCAGTCATATCGACTGATGTGTTTACATGAAGGATTTTCAATACAGTTATGGATTATTTGGGTGCATGTAAATGTAGCTACTGTAAGAGCTAAAACAGATATGTGATGTTGTGATGTTGCATTGCTTTACCAGACAGCTGTATTTATTTACGTGCCAAAGCCAGTTTTTACTTGCATTTGGTGCTTGCATTTCCAGCACAAATATCTAAACATCCTTAAATCAAGATACATTTACTGGAGAAGCAAAATGACTTAATGATATTAAGTGTTGCTTTCTGAGAAATTGATCAACATTAGGTGAGTTTATGCTTCAAACAGGAAAATATTTGCAGATGGAGTCAGAAAAATACAATTGTTTTCCCTTTGAATCAAGCTGATTTTCTGATCACATTGGCAGATATTTGCTCTTGTTTAAAGCATAACTTTTGATGCTTTTTTTCAGAAAACAACGTTATCTTAAGTCATTTTGCTTCTTAAGTAATTGCATGCTGATTTAAGAATGTACTGGAAAACAAGACCGAATCCTAAGTAGTAAAGTCATTTTTGCAGTGTTGAATGATAATTTCGGACGCTGTGGGAGAGACAAACGCTGCAGTTAACAGGCGGATACTGACACGCGGCTCTCGACGAGTGGCTCTCCACAGAAGCGCGGCGGCCCGAGTCGATGAGGAAGGTAATTGTGGGTAAGAAAGAGAGCGGAGGTGAAGAGAGTCCCTCCGGACACCTCGAGCTCGACCCACGTCCTCAAAAACACACGGAAGAGGCCGTCAGGGAACAGGTGCCGCTCGGAAAACACTTTGAGTATCACAGCGACGTTTCTCGAGGCTTTAGAGTGTCATGCGTGAATTAACTCGCTTTGACTTAATGCATCTCGCTCTCTCTCACCGTGCTTTTAAAGAAAACACGCTGTTCGGATTGACAGTCGAGCTGCTGTAAAAGGCCGTGGAAGAGCCGGCGGCTGTAATTGATGTCCTAATTGACTGAGGATCTGTGTTTTAGCCTCCTGATGGATGCAGACGGGCACTTACTGAGACGGCCCTCGGATCTGTCTATTCAAGAGCTGTAATTCATTAAATCAGGCCTTTCAGTGCCGTCAGGACGCTGGATGTGCTGCTAAATGCACATTAGTGTTTGCTTTTCTTTGTAATAGCGGGACGAATGTTTGTTTATGTTGTCGTGAGTCTCGTTCAGCAGGTCAAAGGTCGTTCTTAGGCTCTAATGGATGGGTGGATGTGGAAGTGTGTGTTTAAATGCCACTGTGCAGTGTAAGACAAGCTGAAGATTAGAAAAACACTAGCTGTGATAAAACTAAAGCTTTTCAAGTCCTGCTGGGAAACATGAATGATGCTGAGATGTTCAGGGTGGATGTGACAGTTGCTATACAGCAAAAAAAATAAAACAAATCCTCTTCTTAATGAGTGTTTGTGTCTAATTTTCCAGTATCTGAAATTCCTTATAACAACATCCATTGACTGCATAAGATATTAAGTCTAGTTTTCAGAGAATGTTTTTTTTTTCTTTTTTTTTTTTTTAATTTGAGTGCATTTTTTCTCTTTTTTTAATACTTAAAACAAGTGAACAAATCTGCCAGTGCGGTGAGGCAAAGTACACTTATATTAAAGAAAACAAGTCTTAATATCTTATGCAGTTTTGCTTCTCAAGTAAATTTGTCTTTTGATTTTTTCATGCAGTTTTAGATATTTTCAAGTCTAAAAAGATTACATTTAATTAAGAAGTTTTTTTGCAGGTTTTCTGTGTGATTTCTGAGACGTTTCAAGGATGTTAAGGTTTCTAGGCAGTTGCTAGGGCATTGTTACGCTGTTGCACAGGTTTTGGTGGTTGCTAGGTTGTTCTGAATGGATGCTACACAGTCGCCAGGCCATTGTTAGACTGTTGCACAGGTTTTGGTGGTTGCTATGGTGTTACTAGGTTGTTCTGGATGGATGCTACACAGTGTCCAGGCTATTGCTAGACTGTTGCACAGGTTCTGGTGGCTGCTAGGGTGTTGCTAGGTTGCTCTGAATGGATACTACAGGTTTTGGTGGTTGCTAAGGTGGTACTAGGTTGTTCTGGATGGATGCTACACAGTCGCCAGGCTATTGCTAGACTGTTGCACAGGTTCTGGTGGCTGCTAGGGTGTTGCTAGGTTGCTCTGAATGGATACTACAGGTTTTGGTGGTTGCTAAGGTGGTACTAGGTTGTTCTGGATGGATGCTACACAGTCGCCAGGCTATTGCTAGACTGTTGCACAGGTTCTGGTGGCTGCTAGGGTGTTGCTAGGTTGCTCTGAATGGATACTACAGGTTTTGGTGGTTGCTAAGGTGGTACTAGGTTGTTCTGGATGGATGCTACACAGTCGCCAGGCTATTGCTAGACTGTTGCACAGGTTCTGGTGGCTGCTAGGGTGTTGCTAGGTTGCTCTGAATGGATACTACAGGTTTTGGTGGTTGCTAAGGTGGTACTAGGTTGTTCTGGATGGATGCTACACAGTCGCCAGGCTATTGCTAGACTGTTGCACAGGTTCTGGTGGCTGCTAGGGTGTTGCTAGGTTGCTCTGAATGGATACTACAGGTTTTGGTGGTTGCTAAGGTGGTACTAGGTTGTTCTGGATGGATGCTACACAGTCGCCAGGCTATTGCTAGACTGTTGCACAGGTTCTGGGGGTTGCTAGGGTGTTACTAGGTTGTTCTGGATGGATGCTACACAGTCGCCAGGCTATTGCTAGACTGTTGCACAGGTTCTGGTGGTTGTTAGGGTGTTGCTAGGTTGTTCTTAGTGGGTACTACAGGTTTTGGTGGTTGCTAGGGTGTTGCTAGGTTGTTCTGAATGGATACTACACAGTCACCAGGCCATTGCTAGACTGTTGCACAGGTTCTGGTGGTTGCTAGCGTGTTGCTATGTTGTTCTGAATGGATACTACAGGTTTTGGTGGTTGCTAGGGTGTTACTAGGTTGTTCTGAATGGATACTACCGGTTTTGGTGGTTCCTAGGGTGTTGCTAGGTTGTTCTGAATGGATACTATGCAGTCGCCAGGTCATTGCTAGACTGTTGCACAGGTTCTGGTGGTTGCTAGGGTGTTGCTAGGTTGTTCTGAATGGATGCTACACAGTCGCCAGGCCATTGCTAGACTGTTGCACAGGTTTTGGTGGTTGCTAGGGTGTTGCTAGGTTGTTCTGAATGGATGCTACCAGTTTTGGTGGTTGCTAGGTTGTTCTGAATGGATACTACGCAGTCGCCAGGCCATTGCTAGACTGATGCAGAGGTTCTGGTGGTTGCTAGGGTGTTGCTAGGGCATTGCCAAGGTGTTCTAAGTGGTTACTAATGTGTTGCTGGGCTGTTTAGAAAGACCTAAAGGATTGTGGTAATTTTAACAGATGTAGTTTGAAAGCTCTAGCAGGAGTTTCAGTCTTTTGAAACGCTGTTTATGTTCAATAACAATATGCTGGCTTTGATAAACTGACGGAACAGGAGAGCACAGCAGTCGGCATATTAAAAAGAACAGCAGTAATAAAGCAGAACAAGGTGCTTTGTTGTTGGTGTTCGTGCAGCTGAAGACTGATGTCAGACGTTAGTTTGATTACAGGCGCTCAAGCGAGTCGAGCTCCAGGTGCTCGTTCTGAACGCTCACATACAGCATTCAGCTGAAATGCAGTTTTAATGCCGCAGCTGCTTAGCAGGCATAGAAAATATACCAGCATATACATCACTGGAGTCATGCAGCAGCAGAACCAGTTACTGGACTGTTTTCATTCTGCTGACAAGAGTAAAACATTACTTACTCCTGTAGAAAACACTGGAGCCACTGGAAATTCATCAGTGAACGTCACAGACGACTGATGCGCTCGACACGCAATTACTGTAGATACAGTAGATTCATATCATTTATTCATTATAATAAATGCAATATAATTATTATTATTAATAATAACAGTAATGATCATAATAACAAAAACAGTATATATAATATATAATATTATAATAAATGTTTATTATTTTTATTATTATGTTTAATTTATATAGAACCTTTCCAGAGCTCCAAAAGGTTTTACACTAGTGAAGCATAACACAGACAATGTACAGTCATGGGAAAGTGCATATTTACACAACTAAGCATATAAAATCATATAAGCACCATTAAGAATATAATTTAAAATTCAAAATAATTTGTCATTATTCTGGATTTTAACACGGTTAATCTCAAAAGTCCCGATCACAGAGGATGTTGAAGAATATCACAGTGTATCAATCAATTAATCAATCAGTCAATCGTGTTTATTTCTGTAGCACATTTAAAAACAGCACATGTTGGCCAAAGTAAATTATTATTTGTTCGATTGAATCATTCAAGAGTTTTGTATGTATTTTTGTTTTTCAGGAGACCAAAATCGACTGCGTCCGTGTCGCTACCAAAGGTAGGTATTCTAATTTATGCAAGCAGACATTGAAAATGTAATTAATTTGACACATGTGCATGTAATCAGCATGACGAAGCAGTGACAGATATTTGACAAACCAAACAGACGCTGTTAGTGTTGTAGCCTGATTCGGTTTCTAAAACGGTTCACACGCTGCTCTTGTCCAGTCAATGTTATTAACCTTGTAAATATGCAAATAAGCACATTAACCTGGGGTTAATTACTAACTCAGGTTAAAGTAAGAGCAACGAGAGACATGACGACCTGGGATTATAAATGAGCGTGTGTGAAGACGAAGCTCTGCATGGTTCTGCTTTTGTGTGTGTCTTGTGCAGGTTTTCAGTAACTGCTCGTTTTCTTCTTTCTCCTGTTTGTTTCTACTGTCTCTCTCTCTCTCTCTCTCTCTCTCTCACACACACACA